AAACGCCATAGCTGTGGTAAGAAGGATTTTTGTATTTGATAGTTTGAGATTGGTGAAGTGACAGCTCTCATTGGGGATCCTTCCGGAAGACTCGAAAGTCGCACGCCGCTTTCATTTGATGTCTGTACCGCCAATGCCTCTTCCGTGGTGGAAACCGTTACCATGATCGAGGGAAACTTCAGAGAGCAATTTTTGCCAAATATGAGCAAATTGGTATCTCCTGGCTTCTTCAAGGTGCTAAATAATGCGGATTGGCTGGGCAGTTTGAATCTAATAGAATTCATCAACGAGACTGCTGGTTTCGTGCGTCTACAAGAATTGTATCACAAGGATAGGTATGTTTTTTATTGTTTATTAGAAAGGACCTCGCTAAACTCTATACTATTTTTTCGCTGGTCATCCATCCATTCAATTTGCGCCTGGATTCCAACATAAAAATGGATATTTTTGCAACCACCTCTCATTGTGCTTTATGCTATGACTTATGGATATAAATATAAAGTGCCTCCCAACCTTTTCATAAGGACCTCTACATAAATTCCTCGTTCCTATTTGTAATCAGCTTTACTCTGAATCATAAAGTTAAGTATCTGGCTTGCCCATTTAACCCCCTGTCGCTCTGCTAGACAGTACTGACTTACGAAAGACTTATAGGTGCTTTCACGCTTTGGTTTGACGCACCTCTATGTTTGACGGGCTATGTACCCATCTATAGAAAGAAGACCAGCTTTGTGGGATGGTGAAATTCTCTCCTCTATGCCGAATGTAGGACAGAGCCCAGGCATCCAGGTTTAGCTTGGTATACATGACTGGAGCCCAGCTACGTGGTCGCATTTAGCTGAGTAATCATTCATGAACAGTCTTAATGAGGAAAAGGATTAAGAATTTTGCACGGCGGAGTGTGGCTATTCCGTTTTACTTGGAGCGCCAGACGGGAGCCCTCGTAGACGGTTAAAAAGAGGCTACCAGCTACTGAGCAGTAAGTCTGTCACTGAAAACAGTTAACCGGTCTCTTATTTTCCGTCATAGTTTGGTCTTTCAGACCTAGTGGCCCGCTTTGTCAACTTTTCCTGGATTTTAGAAGCTTGCAGTGCCGGCCAAAACAGCAAGCGATTCCCTTCGTCACCTGATAGCCGACCGGTGGTGGCTTAGCATCTTCCGAGGAGCACTAGTGGCTTCAGTTTGTTCCAGTTGTTTTCAACTTAGGACGTTTCAGAACAGGTTGCTGTGTGCATCGGTACGGCAAAGTGGTCGGTGATAGCCAGTGATAAGATCGGTAGAAATCGTATTTTTCGTACGTTATGCTCTTTTGACAATAGATAGCTGAGCCGTCACAAGAGTATGATCTGAGACGTTTTTACTGCCCGTGCCGATGCTGCATATTGGACGGGCGTCTATCATTGAGCCGGCTCAATGTAGCGGTATACGTATTAAGTCAGGCGGATTAGGGAGGAGAGGGTACGGTGGGAGGTTACTGTCACTGTAAACTATTTCACGCTCAAGTTATCACCCCCTGCGTCGACAGTGTTGTGGAATACACGGTGTACAAAAACTTATATTAAGCGAAATACAAGCCACGACCGGTGAAAATGTTCATTATTTCTCCGATGTTTGTACGCAGCTGCGTTCACCACAAAGATTGATCAACCATTGAGCAATTAGCCCCATAGTGACCACAGCTTATTTTCGTTTTATCACTCGTGGACAAAGGGTTATTGTCTAGAAAATTGTCTGAGACTTATTTTTTAGCTTGTTAAACATCTTCAGCAGGTGTCTTAACTGCTCAAATATCCCTTAAGTGATTTACTAGCGGGATGTAACAGCGTGCCTGCTCCAAGCTGAGACAAAATTACATTTCTCCATATCCGCTTCGTGCGCTGTCATCGCAACTTAAAATATACTATTGTCATGTGGCTCATTGTTCCTAGCATTGTTGTCCTCTGTGTATATTAGAAAGAAGTGTCCACGTTTTACACTAATGTTTCATTTTGTGAATGGGTCAGTGCGTGGACGACCATCATCAGCTTTTTAACTATCCGTGATGCTCATTATATCCTTCCTCTCTTCCATCCAAATGGCGCTGCGTTTTAAGGGCTAGGGTGGATAGGCGCGTGTATTTGCTTACAAACCACATTCGAAGAAGCTATTGGAGATCAGGAAGTGTTTTGTTAGGGGTCATACGACTTCTTCTAAACCGTATTTATGAACTCTAGACACACACAATACAATCAAACTGTTTATTGGTATTTTTTTATTTCAACAAGTCACGGGTTAGGGAATGTTTCAGTGTCTGCAGCATCCATTTCTTTCAGACAGAATTGTTCTGATAATAACTTTTTAGCCCTTGTGTTCTTGCTGGGTATCCACAGACGTCATCATTTGTTAATTCTTGACAGAAGTGGTCTACTTCCCACGTCTTTACTTTGCAGCGTAAAGCTTCGCGAGTCCGCTGGAGAGGGCATGAATATGAAAGAATTCTTGTATCCACTCGTTCAGGCCTACGACTTTTTGCATCTGCATAAAAATCACCTGTGCTCCCTTCAGGTACTGTCTGTTTCAACTTGGTAATTCATACCCGTAAGATAGTTAGGTGGAAATGATCAAGTTGGCAACATCGACACCGGCATAGCCTTAATTCGCCGTAAACTGGGGAAGAAAGTGTTCGGTTTGTTAGTTTTTTTTACGGGACCATTGGCCCTTTGCACACGAAAAGAAGGCACTAAATTTACTAACACACTTACTCCAACTTGACAGGTCTTACAGTACCACTACTTGTTGCCCCTGACGGATCCAAAATCGGAAAGACCAGCTCCAAAACACAGAAGGATGTCATATGGTTGAGTCATCGAAGGCTACGACCTTTCTCCTTCTACCAACGTATATTAAATCAGCCTGATGTTCTCATGACACCGTCTTTCTTCCACCAGCTTACTTTCCTCTCCAATGATCATGTCAAACAAATACTAACGGATCATGTAGTAAGTTTGCTATTGTTCATCAAACACACAAAGTCCACAGGCATGCTGTTACAACACACCGTGCTATTTAATTTATTCTGTGGTGGCCACCCAACCACATACCTTACATAGGAATTTAAGATCACTGATCAAAGTATAATTTATATTTTATTAATATATATAAGCAGAATACTTAGGATTCCCTTATCTATCCGACAAATTTCTTCGTTCTATATTAAGCCGCGTCATTTCTACGAAACCTGCAAAACACACCCTTATTTAACCTAGTTAGACTTATTACCTTGTTCTTACATCGTCTTTTCAGCGTCTAGTGCGCAGGTCTTACCCATTTATAGTTTCTGTCTTCTGTCCTATTATGGCTGTCTTCAGATTTTCTGTTCCATGCTTATTTTCTTCCACTCATGTGACGGAACACTCAACTCAGTCATGCGTGGACCCCTGCTACCCATTCTGATTCCAAGCGAGTTTCACAAGCGCCGCGATGAAATGGATTTCCTTGAAGCCGAAATTTTTCACCCTATTTCACATACTTAAATATATTGTAGAATCCTCCATGCATGTAACCTCACCCCAGTGGATCGACAAAGGCCGTCGACCGTTAAACTTTTCGTCAGATGCCTTCCTTTTTATAGTCCTTTTAGGCTCGGATTGCCGTTTGCGAGACAGTGATACAGTTCAATTTTGTCCCTATGGGAAATATAAGGATGTAACGGAAACCTGATTGGCGAGTGATGTCTGGGCTCGTTAGGCTGCCGAGTTTGTTCTATGGGAGCTTCGACAACTTTTCAATTCCCATGCAAGCAATAATTATAATGCACTTGTTCTTGATGCATGAAGAGTGCACGAGCTGTCAGTGGAACAACTAGCCAATCCCGATTCTCCTCTGTTATCACGGTGCATCTCAAAATTTCCACATTTAGGTTCCTTCCTTTAAACGATCCTTTTCGGTATTTAAAGGTTATACTTTATGCATCTTTATTTCTTCTTTTTTTCAGAGGAATCCGTCGAGAAGAACCGCCCAAAGAGCACTGGCAACAGAACTTACTCTTCTTGTACATGGAGGTAAGTATGACCTCTTGCAGCAGATTCCTCTACCGGATAAGCTTCCCTTTTCCAATATCCCGCAGCTATTGGCATGGTCCGAACAGATGTTTTTATTTTGTTGGCCTCCGATCAGTCGCTCATGGTACTTTGGGTAGTCGTATCTTTTAATGGAATAAAGGGACTATACCTGGAAGACCTTTATTCTTTTTGTTAAGTTAGAATCCAGTCGGAATATAAAAACAAAGGAAAAACTACACGGATACCATATTGGCACCTCGATGTCCTCTAATACATGAGACACCCGTTCATATTTTTACTATAAGCGCCCGTTATCATTTGTTCATTTGTTTGTTACATCGGCGAACCTTCTCGCACACCAAAGATTCATTTTAAATATATACGCATGGTGGTAGTTAAGACATGGAATATCAGCTCGATCCAGTGCCATATTAATAGTAAAGACTTACTGGTGGCCACTGTCCCTTATAGCACAAATTGCGACGCCGTGGTCTTTCCTGAATAATTATATTAGTTTCGCGAGGTTTCCCTCAATAGTGAGGTGATCTCCTGCCAGGCGAAGCGTCCTTTAAAGGTAATGGGAAGGGTAGTTTTAAGAGCACCTTGAAACATACCAACGTGTCCTCAGCTGGTTTTTTGTCCGGCCGATTGCCGTTTTTGAGTTTGCCTCCAACTGGCGTTTTCGCAAGCGACAACTGTGATTTGCTCCCTTTCTTCTATGCCATAACCACTCCCCCCAGATGAACTCTTGTAATTCACCGCCTGATTTATAGCACAGACATTCCTTTTAACGCATTGGTTAAGAACAAAAAAACTTTTGTTTCTTTTTTCAGCTGGAGCTCTGCAGGCCATTGAACTTTCCTCCCGAATATTCTTCCCCTGGAGCTCTACGCACGCGACCAACGAGAAGCCGATGCACATCCTTGCTAACGGCCTCTCTCTGTCTGAACGTAATTTCCTGGTGGCTGCCGTCTGCCACCCAACAGCTTCCACCACGAGCCCTCTTCCCGTTATTAATGACGGAGGCGCCTCCCAAGATCCTCTGTCTCGTCTTCAGGAGGTCTTGTCAAAGGCTCTAGCCAGCCAGCAAGATCGGGGTCACGTCCTATCACTGTCTGGTGGAATTGCTCTAAATGGCATTCAGTTGACTCCGTCCTCCCCGGATGTTGCCTTGACCAGCCAGTCATCATGGCCTGAGAATCTCGTTAAGGAAGCTTGGAATGCGTGTGATCCGTCTACTGGAATTAGTATAATGCAGATTGGTGAGAGTTCTTGTGTTCTGTAGTTACTGTCCTGCCTTCGGTCTTACTTAGCTTAATGTCTGGTCGTGCGTTTCGTGAAGCAGTTACATTTGCTTTGTGCTACCTCGCAATCTCAATTCTCTAAGATATTATCCAAGCTAGTCAGCACTTTTAATCGCTCTCCATTGCATAGTGTGTAAAATCCACACTTGATAACATGTCAGATGCCGCGAAATTGCAGTTTTCTACTCTCAATCTCGTCTTCCGTTATAATGCACACTTACTCATGAAAAGATTGTTTGGCTCGCTTTCGAGTTGACGTTTTTTTTAAAAAATAAATTAATTAAGGAAGTCTACATGGGAAATTGAAAACCATAGCCTAAATATTCTACTCACTCATCCATTCATTACGAAATTCGCGTATATTCATCATCGGTGCATTCTGTGCAGATTTGATAGATGTTCTCCTTACGTGAATAACAAAAGACCATGTCCACACTTCGCAACCATTGCATTAATAGGAGTTTTAGGAGCTGGGCTTTGACCCAGTTGTGAAAAACTCGAGGAGATTCGAACACATGACAGTAAGGGGAAGACTTCAGTACAGCCAACACTCTAACCACCAGGGTTACTAGACTCAACCAACAGTCGTAGGCTTAATCATACTCAGGTTAAGTTAATCGCCAAGTCTCCTGCAGCAAATGAACTTCACCAAGTCTGATACAGTTGTTGTAATGGCTTCCCAAAGCTATCATTGTGCCGCCAGTCTCTTTGTGTCAGTTCAGCAGGGAGAACAACGAACAAGGTCGTAAAAGAAAAGAAGTCGTTTATTGCGTCCCTTGACGGGAACTATATGAAATGGGATGTTATAGAAGCGACCAATCAGATTGTGCCCTTATTCGCATAGGGGCTTGATTG